CCCCTGCTCCGAATCGGCGCCCCCCGACCTCGCAGGGAGCCGAGCGTGCGGCTGGGACTTTCTTGGAGGCAGGGGAACGTTAAGATGTTGAAAGCTCCCCGGCCGAGAGGGGCTGCGCGGACGCCAGGCCACCCAGCTAGAGGGGAGCAGGATGGACAGAGCCGTCGTGGCCGGGAACCGAGGCCGGTAGGGAAGGATGGACTCCCGGACCTGCCAGGACAGGCAGCCCAGTGCCCACCCCAGCAGCAGCAGCAGCAGCAATTGTAGCAGCGGCAAGAGTCATTGCGAAAGGGAAAAGATCCGGAGTCGGATGAAAATGGTGATCGGGCAACTGGAAGGAATCTTACAGGAGCTCAAGGAGGTGGCCAAGGAGCTCCGGGAGGTAGGAAAGCCCCGGGATGGTCTCATATCCCTGCGCGGGTCCCTACCTGCTGGCCCCAAATATAGGTGTTCTGCCCCCGTCCCCCGGTCTGTCCCCTGCCTCCGGGGTCAGGTTTGGGGGCAGCAGAGGTGGCTCAGCACCCACAACCCATCGGCCGCGGGAGGGACCTGGGGTGGTACAGCCTGGCTGATTTGCAGTAGGATTTTCCAAAAGGAGGTGGGGGGAAGAAAAAAAAATAAAATACTAGCTCTGGTTGGTAAAATTGCCCTTGACCTTGACGGCGGGGTTTGCTCGGGGTCAGGGGACCCGGCCAAGGCACCCACTCTGAGGGTGCCGGTGGTGGGAGAAGCCCCGTGGGGGTCACGCACCGCCGGGGCTGGGGGAACCGGGGCCGTCGGCTCCGTGCCACGGTCAGCTCTTGTTCTGCCTTGGGCAGGGGGGTTTGGGGAAGGGGGGGCGGTTCCAGGCCCTTTTCAAAGCAGGGAGGGAGATGGAGAGGGGATGGTGGGTCCCTCTGGCATTGCAGAGATCACCAAAAATATGGCATCGGCCCTGGGTGCGTTGATGGGGGGGTGGTCCATGGGCTGAGCAGAGGGGCAAAGCGACCGGCTGTCCCGTAGCTTGGCTGTCAGGGTGCATTGCTCCTGGAAAAAAAGGAAAAAAAAAAAAAATATATATATATATACATACGCACATAAAAAGTGTGGCTGGAGTTTCCTCCCAGCGCGGAGGCATGGCAGAGTCGGTTCGGTGGGGAATTGAATATTTTTGTGGCTCCAGGGGGCGGGGCACACAATTTCCGGGACGGCACGGCAGGCGGGCGTTTGCGTCCTCTTGGTGGCCTGAGCTGAGCGTGATGGGGGTTATATCCAGAGCCATGGGAAACCTCCCCTCCCCCCCCACCACCACCACCACCACGGAAGGGCAGAAATGGGTGGAGGTTTTGCCATGGGGCTGTGCTGGAGCAGCCCCACCTGGGGCGGTGACATTTGGGTGCCACCGAGAGAGCGCTGATGCAGGTGGACCAACGTCATCCTCGGTGCAGACGCAGCCACAGTCAGGGAGGTGACATCTTCCAGCCTGAAGCATCCCCTGGGATGCAGCGTCCTCCTTCGGGGTGGCTCTGCTCGGTCCAGGAGATTTTAGGGAGGCCATCCCACCTGGGGGAGGGGATGCCACGTCCCACCACGCCTCCCCACTGGGTCCCCACGAGGACTCAACCTGGTCGTGGCAAACCTAGAGATTTTCCGGGCTTTGCCAGTCCTTCCTGCAACAGAAAGCAAATCCGGTCACCCAAAGGAAAAAGCCCCCCCACACACACACACACACAATTCCCTCAGTGCCAACGGGAGAGCCCAAAACCCCTTCAACAAATCCCCGGCGGACTAAAAATAGTCGCAATAGTACTAATCGGGAGGCAGAGCTATTTTCCATTTCGCCCGAGTTCACTTCACGCTCTTC